TCTCCCTTTCTTAAGCCTCCTTTATTTTTGAGACAGAGTCTCACTGTGTTGCCCAGGCTAGAATACTCTGGCATCAGCCTGGCTCACAGCAACCTCAAACTCCTGGGCTCAAGTGATCCTCCTGCCTCAGCCTCCCGAGTAGCTGGGACTACAGGCATGCACTGCATGCCCGGTTAATTTATTTCTATTTTTAGTAGAGACGGGTCTCACTCTTGCTCAGGCTGGTCTCTAACTCCAGAGCTCAAAGGATCCTACTGCCTCGGCCTCCCAGAGTGCTGGGATTACCGCGCTCACCCAAGCCTCTGAACCTTTTATTTACTCTCCTTATCACCTTCCAAAACATGACTGTATTAGACTGTGCCAAGACAGTGACAAAGGCTTACCAGTCAGAACAGGAGCATTAAGTATTGACCTCTGGAATAAACTTTGCTGTTTAATATTGTTTGGAATTCAATTTTCCCTAGATATCTGGTAGATTGCTCCTTTTCTTTCTTCAAATTTCTGTCCAAATGCTACTTTCTAAGAAAGGATTTCTTTTTTTCTCTCATTTTACTTAGATATGATTCACATATAATAAACTTCACCATTTTAAAGTGTTCAGTTCAATGTGTTTTAGCATATTGCAAAGCTTATGCAATCATCACTACTAGGTAATCCCAGACCATTTTTAGAGTCTCTAAGAAGCCCCATATCCACATGCCAGTTGCTCCCCATCCTGTGCACCGCCTTGCCGCCCAGCCCTGTCAGCCACTAAGCTGCTTTCTGTCTCTGTGAATTTGCCTATTCCAGGCCTTTTATAAAAGCAGAATCATACAGAGTATGGCCTATTATGTCTGGCGTCCTTCAGCTGGCATGGTGTTTTCAAAGTTTCATTCATGTTGTAGCAGTCCTTCATTCTCGTTTATCTCTGAGTAATATTTCATTGTGTCATTATACCACATCCATCAGGTAATGGACATTTAGGTTGTTTCCACTTTTTAGCTATTATGAATAATTCTCTTATTAACATTTGTGTTCAAGTTTTACATGAACATATGTTTTCAATTCTTGTGTATGTATTTAGAAGTGGAATGATTCAGTCACATGGTAAGTTTATGTTTAACTTTTTGAGGAACTTTCAAAATGTTCTCCCGAGTAGCTCCACCATTTCACATTTGTACCAGAAATGTGTAAGTTTTCCAACTTCTCCACATCCTTGCTGATGCTTGTTATTGTTCAACTTTTTGATTATGGTTATCTTAGTGGATGTGAAGTGGTATCTCATTGTGGTTTTGATTGCCTTTCCCTAATGACTAATAATTTTAAGAATCTTTTCATGTGCTTTGTGGCCTTATATATCTTCTGTGTAAAAATAGTTATTCAAATACTTGGCCCATTTTTCCCACTGAATTATTTGTCTTTTTATTATTGAGTTTTAAGAGTCGTTTTTATGTTCCAGAACTAGAACAAGTACATAATTTGAAACTATAATATACTTCTATTCTGTAGGTTGTCTTTAAACCTTTTTGAAAGTGTTCTTTGTTGCACAAGATTTTAATTTGATGATGTCCAGTGTATCTATTTCTTGTGGGTTACTTGTGCTTTAGGTATCATGCCTAAGAAACATTTTTGTCTAATCCCAGGTCACAGAGGTTTATACCTTTGTTTCTTTCTAAGAGTCTTATACCTTTTTCTCCTACATTTAGGTGTTTTGTCCACCTTGAGTTAGTATTTGTACATTTTATTTCCTTGTTGACCTTTTTGTTTTATTCATCACTCAAAGTCTGGTGCTGAAGTCTCCAATTACTATTGCTGAGTTGTCTATTACTTCTTTTAATTCTGTCAGTTTTTGCTTCATGTATTTTGATTCTCTGTTTTTAGAGACATACAGTCTTATAATTGTTATAATTCCCTGCTGGATTGAAACTTTAAGCATTATAAAATACTTTGCTATCTGTAGTAGTAAAAATTTTTTTTTTTTAAGTATATTTTGTCTTCTATGGGGCCAGTCATCACAGCTCTTTTTTGGTTGCTGTATACACAGTACGTCTTTTTCCATCCTTTTCGTTTCAACCTGTCTGTGTCTTTTAATATAAAGTGTATTTTCTGTAGATAGAATATAATCAGATCACGGCATGTTACTCATTCTACCAATCTCTGCCTTCTGATTGGAGTGCTTAATTTCATCAGATTTAATGTAATTACTGACAAAGTAGGATTTATGACTATCATTTTTCTATTTGTTTTCTATGTCTTATGCCCTTTTTTCCCTCTATTACCACTCTCTTGTGGTTTGATATAATAAATATTTTCTAGTGTACCAACTAATTCATCTGCCATTTCTTTTACTACTTTTAAAAAAGTTTTTAATGGTTCCATGATAATTATGATTAACATTATTACTGACAACAATCTATTTCAGATATATATGTCAATTCAATTTCAATAGTGTGCAAAAACTTTGCTATTATATACATCCACTTTCTCCCTCCCTTTGTACTACATCGGCATACATATTGCATTTTTATATATGGTATGCCTAGCTATATGTGTGTGTGTGTGTATATATATATATATATATATATATATAAATTATTGCTTATGTAGGTGTCTTTTAAAAATCAGGAGAAAAAACAGTAACAAATATATACCTTTATACTTTTATATCTTCCTATATAATTACCTTTCACAGTATTTTTTGTTTCTTTATGGGGATTCATGTTATTGTTGAGTGTCTTTTTAGTTCGGCCTGAATGAATCCATTTAATATTTCTTATAGAGCTGGTATGTTAGTGACAAATTATCTCAGTTTTTATTTATTTGGAGATGTCTTCATTTTTTTCCTCTTTTTTTTAAGGATAGTTTTATTGTATATGGAATTACTGCTTGACAATGTCTTTTCCTTTTAGCACTTTGAATGTGTCATCCCACTGCCTTCTGGCCTCCATGATTTCTGGTGAGGAATTAGTTGTTAACCTCAGTTAGAATTCCTTGTACATGATGAGTCACTTCTTTCTTGCTGCTTTCAAGATTTATTCTTTCTTTGTCTTTTGAAAATTTGAATATGATTCTTCTAGATGTAGATCTCTTTGAGTTTAACCTAGTTGGAGTTCATTGATCTTTTTTGATGTGTAGACTACTGTTATTTTTAAAAATCAAGTTTGTTAAGTTTTTTGCTATCATTTCTTCAGAAAATTTTTCTGCCCTTTTTTTTCTTTCCTCTCCTTCTGGATTCCATTATGCATATATTGGTACAGTTGATAGTGTCTCTAGCTCTCTGTGACTCTGTTCATTTTTTTTTTTTTTCATTCTTTTTCTTTCCATTCCTCAGACTGGATAATTTCAATTGACTTATCTCCAAGTTTGCTGATTCTGTCTTCTGCCAATTTGAATCTACTGTTTAGCCACTCTAGTGAAATTTTCACTTTAGTTATTATATTTTTCAACTTTAGAATTTCTCTGTTTTTTCGAGATAATTTTTATCTCTATTGGTGTTCTCTATTTGATAAGTCATTGTTTTCATACTTTCCTTTAGTTCTTTAGCTATCATTTCTGTTAGCACTTTGAACATATTTAAAATATGTGTATAGAAAATATAGTGTATAGAAAATCTTTGTCTAATGAGTCAACATCTGGGCTTCCTCAGGAACTGTTGCTATTGATTTTCTTCCCCCATGCATGGGTCACACTTTCTTATGTATTTATGTTTCATAATCTTTTGTTGAAAATTGGATATTTTAAATAATATAATATGGAAACTCTGGAAATAAGATTCTTTTACCCTTCCAATATTTGTTGTTGCTGTTTGTGTAGTAGTTTTATTTTTTTTGTCTTCTGAGCTAATTTTGTAAAGTCTATATTTTTTGGCATGTGTATCCTTTCAAGTCTGTACTCCATTGGCTTAGTGTTCAGTTAATGATTGGACAGAGATTTCCTTAAAAGTCTAGAACCAATAAATATTTCAGTCTTTGCTGAGGGGCTTTGTGTGCTTGTTACTGGGCATTTTTCAAACACTCAGCCAGGCACTTGACAATTAACTCTGCCTGAGCTCTCTCACTTCCTCATTGTGCAGATTCCCTGGGGCAGTCAGAGGTGACAGTGTAGGCCTTCTAAGGGGTTTCCTGAGCATGCCCACACCCTTGGGCATGTGCACAGTCCTACACATATATGTGGCCTTCTAAATTACAAAAATTATGTTGAAGATTTTTCAAAGACCCTCTTGCCATCTCCTTACTCAGCTTTCTCTTTGAAATTTCGTTTAGTCTGTTGTTTCTCCTAACATTTATCCACTGTCTGAGGCAGCCTCAAAGTTAAAACACTTTCCTATAATTGCTTTTGGTAAATGCTGTTCAGGGAGAGCAATTTTTGCACTGGGTGAGCCTCTAGTCAGACAATCTTATAAGTGGTGCCTTTCAGGGAACCACCAGACAACTTAAGTTATTTGGGAATAAAGCTTTGAAAAAGCTTCAGTTCTGCTGTATTCCCTTTGGTGGCTCCCAGGCTGCAGTGGGAATGTGGGCTTTTTATTTTCAAAGCTACTGCAGAGTCGGAGAGGGGAGATGGGATTAGGTCGCTCATGTCCTTTCTGACATTCATCTATTTTTCTTGAATAAATCCTCCCCACATTACTGCAAACTTTTTGTTAATTTTTTCAGTGTTTTGAGAGTTTACTCTGATAATATCTCAACAATTTTTTCATTACTTTTGTGGAGGAGAGAATTTTTGGAGCTCTTTCCACTATCATTTTCACTTAGATCTCCAGAAAGGCTTTTCTTGACCACATTATTTAAATAAATAATAATAACCTCTCACTTTGTTCCTGTTCCTTGATTTATTTTGTTTCCAAAATACTGTTCCTCATCTGCTATACTGTGTATTTAGTTGTACACTTGTTCATTGCCTGCAGGAGCCTTTATGACCCCTTTCTATTTTAGTTTCCTTTTCAATCTTAATAGCATTTTACCTGGGCCTGTGGATAACCAACCAGAGACTACATTTCCCACCCTCTTTTGCAGGAGGAGGATGTGACTACATTTGGAAAATGGGAGTAATGTGTGCGATTTCATCATGACTATCTCAAGAAATAATTGCTTGCCATATGGCGTGTTGGTGACACAGCCCCCACCATTGAGGTAAGCTCTGCCGCACAGGGGACAGCAGCACAGGGGGGTGGCAGAGCCACAAGCTGGGAGGCAACCGGGCCCCTGAATAATCTTGTGGAAGAAGCTGCTCTCCTTCATCAGTATCATTACTGACATTCAATTTTTAAAATAATCTCATGAATAATCAGGGACCAACATTTTGCCTAGAAAGTTATTTCCAGCTTCTTTTACTGACAATGGAGGCAAAAGAGACAAACAAAAAACTATTTATGTAAGACATTGCTAAAATACTTTCTGCAAATAATTTTTCTGATGTAGACTCACTATTAAGTTCCACTACAAGGGATGTATTAGGGGGGAAATGCTTCACAAGCACCAAGGGTACTTAACAACTTTCTAATCTATATGAATTAAATAAAAATTCTGAAACAATTTCTGAATTCTAGCAAAGCATACTCCTTAGGCTTACAGACAGTCATTGGACTTTCAAAATAAATGAAGTCCCCTAATTGAGTTAGGTGGACGAAGAAATTGTGGAACCAAATGCTCACTCTCTGGCATTGATTGGTATATTTAATTATCTGGCATTTTCCCTCTAGTTCTGTGTGGCTGTAAAGGGCAACTGTGGCGATGATGGCAGTGATACTACACTCCATCACCAGCTGCTTGGTCACAGGGGATACTTTGGGAATGTGATCTCAAAGCATCATTTACAGATGCTGGATTTGCACCACTGTAGCCCACCCTCTGCCTGAGTATCTCAAGGTGTCTCCCTTGCCTTACTCCTGTTGGTGCTTCCCAAAAAGGGGCAGGGACTTAATTCTCCTTAAATCATCTCTTTATGGATGTCCTTCAGAATTGGAGGCTTACTTTCCATTGCTTAAACTCCTCCCTTCCTCCTTCCTGTAGGATAGAATATGGATGTGTGCACGACCCACCTTTGATCATGCAGGCAAGGACAAGACCCTCGAGAATGGAGAACAAGAAGATATGCTTGATCCCCGATTGCCCTTTTGGACAGGACCTCCCCACTCTAACTGTGAGACTCCGATCTATCTAGGACACTTCCATGTACAGGTTACTGATGCTTTAGAAGCATGTAAGCTACATTCTTTGTTTTACAATATTGCTTTGGAAAATGTGAAGAGTATATTATCTGGAATGAAACCTAAATTGCTGTAGGCCCCAAACAGAGCTTAAGGAAAATTCAAGGTCATTTTATTCTCTACTTCTATGAGTTCAAGGTCATTTCTCTCTGATGTAATATTATTAGTGCTGAGAGGAGCCATCAGGAGGGCGGTGCCTTCAAATGGTCATCAGGGACCTTAAAACCAAAAGAAAACAAGGGAAAGAAAACCCAAAGTTTAGAAGAATGGTTCATTCTGACTGGGGAGGGGAAGGGAAAGGACACATAGATGCTATAAAGATAATGACAATGATCAATTTTTTGTTAGCTGACTTGTTTTGCTTTATGCCAAGTATAAATGTTATAAATACTCAATATGTAACACAAACAATTTAAAGTAAAGAAAAAAAATTAATAAAAAGAGTTCTTAGTGAGACAAGGAAAATTAACCGTTCTTCTACCGACTCTGAAGGGTAACTCTAGAGAGAGAAGGGAGAAATTAGAAGACACGATTATTTATTGAGCACTTAGTATGTGCTAGGTACTGTTCAGGTGCGGTTACAAACATTATTTCATTTACTTGTCATAATAATACCTTTAAAGTAGGTATGATGAACTGTTTTTTTTTCTTCCTTTTGTTTTACTGAGAAAACTGAGGCCGAGAGAGATTGAATGATTTTTCCAAGACCATGCAGCTAGTAACCAGCGGAACTGGGGTACAAGCTGATATATTTCTTGGCAACAAGGCCTAGGCAAATGGTTTAGTAGTACAAGATACCGTTCCCAATTTTCAGTTGTTGGCTTAACCTATCTCTGATCCATGCCATGTCTGAGCACCTCTGACTACCACATCAATGAATACTGAGTGAATGTACCATATTGTTATTTGCTTGATCTTTTCTTCTGTAAAATTTGCTTTAATTTATTTAAAAAGGAAACTTTGCATGTTACATGGAAAATGGAGAACTGCTATCATTTGCCATAAAATAGAAGATAATAATTATGATTAAAATTGTGATGAAATTTTATCTAGACACTCTTGCTTGCTGACGGCTGTGAGCCCGCCACCTGCACTCTGCCGACCGCGAGGAGCAGACGAGCAAGCGCGTGGCGGGGGTGGAGGCAGGCCGGCCTGAGACGGAGTCAGAAGCAGGATTGAGAGAAAAATGAAAAGGGAATTACAGTCTTACTAAAGTCTTTCCAGGTGATTCCTCAGTGCTTAATGCTATACCTGTGCATCAAATAAAACCTTAAACATTTCATATTCTACTGGTCTAGCACTTTGGGAAACAATAGACGAGCGTGGGTTCAAATCTTTGTTCCGACAATGTCAAGTTGATGAACTTCTTTCACTTAATGTTTTCTCACTTGTAAACCGGAAAGGTACCTCACAGGTTATGGTGAATATTAAGTGTGATAGTGCATAGAAAGCCCTCAACAACCATCTTAGTAAATGTTCAGGGAAGATGAACTGTTATTGCCATGTTCTCTATTGCTGCAGCTACTGAACTTGTAATTATAGTTATAAAATTGTCCCCTCTCTTCACACACAAGACTTCATGGAAATGCTTGTTACAAATCACATAAACAATGATAAAAAGAAAACGGAAAAAAAAAAAAAAAAACCTGCCACATAAACAACTGGGTAAAAAGGCCAGTGGAGAAGTGAGTCGCATCCAGAACTTTCCTGAGCCCCGGGAGTGTCATGTAGGGTGATGCGCTTTTTGCTCTGCACGAAGGCGCCTGGGGCCGAGGAAGAGGGTGGGATCTGAAACTCTTCTCATGCTATAACATCTAAACTATGGTGCCTGGTGCATCAACCTCAGAAAAAGCAGGTGCTTTCTTCCTGATTTGCACAAACATGCCGTATCAGCTTGGCAGCAACCCCTGCCTCCTGATTGCTCATTGTTTAGCTGTTTATATGTGGACTTGAATTGTGCACTATGAGTGATGATGGAAGAACTAGATTGAAGAATCTTAAGCAAAGGAAGTAAGGAGGGCAGCTAATTTTTTTCTCCTTTCAGGTACCTCTAAGACACTCACTGTGCTAGAGCCAAGAGGGGCCACGTCAGAACTGCTCCCAGACCCAGCAGTCTCCCCACCGGGGAGTCTTCTCTCCTGCGTCTCTGGTGATTGTACTTCCAAACGATGTCAAAGTTCAGTTTTAAAGAAAAAGTTTCATTCCCCGCGGAATGTGCAGGTGGAGCTGAAGGATGAGGAGGGACTGGGTAGACGAGAGAGAGAGAGAGGCAGGGTAGAGAAAGACATCCAAATTTAGCTGTGGCAGAGCTGGGTTATTTTTATTTTGGCTAATAGGCAAAATTCAGAAAGCGATCTTTCTCCTCTTGTTACCTTTAAAATAAAGGGACCTCTGGCTGTGTCACTGCAGTGGTTTCAGACTCTGTTCCTTCTTGCAAGGAGAATGAAAAGAAGGCGGTTCAAGCAGTCTCTGCTTGGATTTCACCATCTTTTCCTCATCTGTTTGCACCATTGCCACCTGCAAGCCTGACACGCAGAGGGGACCCGCACCTCAGCAAGGGACAGGAGGTCATGCCACGCAGGCCCTCCTCCCCTTGCCCACGTGGAAACTCATCTTGGGGCCCTGGGGGGGCCCTCGGCCTCCCTTCAGCAGCGGCATAAGTTCTCACTAGGCGACAGACACGGTGATGGACGTTTTATGTGCATGATTTTGTTTAATCTGCATAACGATTCTAAGAAAATTCAGAAACTGAGAGGACTTTCCGTAGGAGCCCCAGGTCCTTCCCCAGACCCACTTTAAGAGACGGGACTCAGGAGACCCCTTGTTTGGGCAGGCACGAGGCAGCTCTGGACTTCCCACCGAGTGGCGCATAGGGGACTAGACCGCAGAAACTTTAGGTGAAAGAGGAGGCAGGAGAGAGAGACTCAGGTAAATCAGATGCCTGGTAACTCCGGGGTGTTAGAAATAAGAGAGAATGATAGGAAAGCCACGGAAGGTTGATCAGGAGAGGCAATTTCAGATGAGTATTGATTATATGACTTAGTTGTTAATAGTTTAGGTTATGCATTCAAACAGATGAGGGTTTGAATTCAGACTTGCACTGATTATCTGCCTTTTTTTTTTTTTTTTTTATTATCTGCCTTTAAATAAATGACTTGATCTTTCTAGGTAAGGCACTTTCGTTGTTGTCAAGGCTACGTTTTGAGGCTATTGGTGATTTGCTAATGGATGCATAAATCTTCATTGATAACGCTAAACTCTGAGGAATGATATTTGATATCACAAATACTGTATTAAAAATGTTAGAGATTTTTTATATAATTTTGTTGTAAATTAATTTAAGAGCCTTAGATTGAATTTTCATTGACCATTTTTAGAAACAAAAATGAAAGACAATATCTTAATGGTGAGGGCTAAGAAATAAATATAAATAATACCCATATAATTTATTTTTATTTCCATCTGCACATTCATTTTTTAGTCTCAGTCTAATCCTAAGCTCTGCTCTGGGTTTGAGTCAGGAAATAGGACTCAAATCCCTGTATCCTCTTCCCCTGCTAGCTGCCCTGGTAACATTTTGTGGGTTGAGAGAAGGAAGCAGAAAGCAAGGGAAGAGAAAAGCGAGGTAGTTGGAAGCAAATCAGAGAGCAGCAAAGGGATGACAAGGGGAGACGGAAAGGGATATGGAGACTCTGTCACTGAATGGTGCCTGGGAAGTCCCAGTCCCCCCTCCTCTCCCTCCTGCACGTGGGAGAAGCTGAATGCTAATGTGCCCAATGCGGCATCTGTTAATGCTTTAACATTTCTCTGTAGACTCCATGCATTCTGGCGCTGTCTTTGCCTCAGGCATGCAAATTTGCATTTTCCCTTGACACTCTTTAATATGCACTTGTACAAGTCGCTTTCTAAATTTGACTGAAATATAATGTTTGCAAGGTATTTTGGGAGGCTTATGAAGAACTAGGCTGGAGTTAAGCTTAATTATTATTTTATACACTCTCTTCTTTTTTTTCCTCTAATCTAATTTCTCAGGAAACTGCTAAACTGCCCATAATTTGAGAAATTAAAAATTATAAAACAAAAATAACTGTAACCCAGAGACCATCCTTTACTGGCGGAAAGATGGATGAGACGGTTGTTTCTAAGTTAATTAAAAACATTTGTAACTACTGCAAGTGCTGAGCGAGAACTCCAGGCTGTGCAAATGCATGCGGTATCTCAGAGCCCTGTCTGCTTCCCCTGCACTGAGAAGGGCTGGCTCTCTTGAAGGGGAAGTCCAACTACATATCCTGACTCGGTTAGCATCTTCACAAAGTTTGCTTTAGCACCTTTTGTTCACTAATCACGCGTCAGTTCTACACTTTCAAAGAATCTGATTATACAGTTATAGAAATGAATTAGCAACAATTTAGGAAATCATGAGGGCTTTATTCTCAGATTCTTCACATAATGAGGTGCAGCAGGTTTCAGTTAGGCTGACAATGAGACGAGGTGTTTTAAATAGGAGGAAGTTTGGATGGGAGAGGAGGTGGCAGGGCTCTCTGACTCTTGTAGGTAGAGATCTGTCTGTGGCCTTGGTAACTGCCTGGGAGACCGAGGAGAGCCTGGGACCAAAGCTGAGCTCCCAATTGAAACGATTACAATGTATCCCACATTGACCATGAACCTTGCTCATCGATTCCTTACCCTCTCTCTACCAGCCCTCTTACAGTCAATTTCTTCTTTGTTACTTTATTAGTTTTGAGTAAAAAAAGTAGAGCTGCTCAGTAGATTTATTTTAACCAGATAACAGTTTAGTTGTTGCGAGCACGGAATTGTGTTTAAAGAAAAGTTCTGGGGTTGGATTGCATTTTCATCTTCCACCAAGCCTGGTTCTGTGGCTTTAGGGAAGTTTCTCTAACTGAATAAATGTCAACTTCCTCTTCTATAAAATGGCAATAATAACAGTGCTTACCTAATAGTGTTATTGTAATGTATTAAGGTATCTGAGAAGAATTTAAAGTGGGGTGATTCAGAATATACTGGAACTGGTGGGTTGGTGACTCATATGCGTGAGGTTTGGTTTTACTCAAAGTAGAGGAAGAAATTTTTAGGGATTCCAATAAGCAGGTAGAGGAAAAGATGAGGGAGATATCGAAGGCACTATGTGCTTTGCCGTCTTCCTCGTTCCATATTGGGTCCTTGGACAGAGAGATTTGAAATAGAAGTCCACAAAATGTGCCACTCAAAGGTTCAAGTCCCAGTGTGATGACGTTTGCTTTGGGAAGGACGGGCACTCTTCCCTTTCTGCGGCCGGCGGTGGCGCCTGGCGGCTCCCAGGGAAGCGCAGCAGCCCCCTGGCTTCTGCCCACCACTCTAGGCAGCCTCACATTCCCCTCAGCTCAGGAAATTTTAGAGGCCTTCTTCCTCACTCCAGGGCCCTGACCTCCCTTTTCTTAGAACCTTGACTTTAAAAAGACTGCAATTTCAAATTCTTTCTCAGCCCATTTGAGATGTAAATTGCTTTAAAAGCCAGTGGCCAGTTTCATAAGGGATGTTGGAAGGGCCTGGAGCCATCCCTTTGAAATGTAACCGTCAAGGAAGAAAGGGGCCTCCCTCCCATTCTCTGCGGGAGTGGGAAGTCTGGCTTTGGTGGGCATCTTGCTCTGAGTTGTAGGACTACAGCCTGTCATGAAGATGCCTGAAAGTTTACTTTTCCTTTGGGTAAAGCCACTTAGCAAAGGCAGATGGCTTGAGTTCTTCCTGTCACTCCAGCTATTAAAAATCCTCCTGCTCTGAGTTTCAGTGGAGTTGAGTTCAGACTTAATGCTGGTCTCTCTCTCCTAGTGCAATAGTTTTGAATAAAGTTTTGCCTGTTTAACTTTGTCCTGTGCACTTTTTTGCTTTGACAACACCTTTGGCTGTGGCAGTGGGAGGCACATGCCCAGGGCTTAGAGGGCAGGAAATGTTGGCCAGCTGGAGAAGAGGTATGATGAACAAAAATATTAGAAATGTTTGCCTCAGGGTGATTTGAATTTAGGACCAATTTGTGATGAAATGGGAGGTATCGTATAGAAATCCAAGATTGGTGGAGGGGCTTTTAGGTACTATTGTTGATGTTATCCTATTTTGGTTCAAAAACTTGTAAGGACATTCAGGCCACAAAAAATTACGTTACATAATGC